GACTCAATACGATGCACTTCAAAGGTGACTGAACCGATTGGCTGAGATCTTGTCCCTTTGTTAGCAGACACGTACAGAGAAAAGCAATTTCTTGAAAGGTGGCTGTTTGTAATTTGCTTTAACTGCTATAAACGTTGCATGGCTGAAGGCACAAAGAAAAAGAAACACTATTTTAATCACAAGAAAGGGCCTGAAAGAGAATTACAATGGCATTGTATAAATCACATCTGACTTTGAGTAAGATACTGAGAGCATTCGGTTCTTTGAGACGGGAAAAACATTAAGGAAGATAGATTAATTTACTTATAAACGTACCTATGGGTTATCTTTTGGCCTTAACACCCCTCATGAGACGTTTAAATTAAAATACATCAAAAATATCAAAATAACATCCCAGGTAAATTAGAAGAAAAATAGTTTAAAATCGGTTGTCAAAGTTAAAACTCCATCACTGGAAGATTTCAAGAAAAGAATGGACATCCGTTTCACCAGGATGGTATAAGGCGGAGGTCTTCAAACTTGACCCTTTTATGACTTGTGGACTTCAACTCCCAGAATTCCTCAGCCATGTCATTTCCTGCCTATTTTAAACAATTTCCCACGTTTGTTCTCTGCCAAGGACGTGTTTCCTGGCTAATGCTTAATTCGGTTCAAAATTCCATTTGCGTTTTTCCAGGCCTCAGCCCTGCAAGGAAGGTGACCCGTTGTCGGTTTTCCAAGATACTTTTAAAACCGAGTTTAGCACCCATTTGAAAGAGGGCTAAACCCCCAGACCAAAGCGGTCACAAGATGGGTTGACCAACACGTGGGAGTAGAGCAGAAGAAAAAGGCGTTCTCCGAAGCAACAGAGAGAGGCTGAATTCAAGCGCCTATTCTAGAGTGGCAGCCATTTTTATACACTTCTGCACTCCCTGCCATTTTGATTCGTTTTGCACAGGGGATTCTTCCTTTGTAGCCTACACAATCCTGCAGCTTGTCATGTGCTGATTTTTCCATCCTCCTCAGCCTGGAAATGGTGACTTGAGACAAAGGATTGTCTTTGATGGAAGCCGTGCTGTGAACTTCCCACACAATGTGTTGGAGTGTGTGTGCGTGTGGGCCTCCCTTCATTGACTCGCTTTTGATCTGTTTCCTGGACTCTTTTTTTTTCTTTCTTTCTCGCAGTTCAGCTAATCTTTTCCTCTGCCTGATTATCTGTGGAAAATATCCATTCATGAAGGCTCTCCAGGAAGCAAACAGACACCCACCCAAAGTTATCTTGGGAACATTTGACGGGATTCATCTCCTGCCATTGACAGGTACCCATCACAGCTCAGGGTGGGTCTGCAGTTCCAGCTGTCGCTTTTACCACATGGGTGGGTACCCACATCTTACGCTATCGGTCCTGGCAGAAGCGGAAAACTATTCCTCAGCCCTGACCACCGAGGGGATCATGAGATCACCCCCATTGTCTTCCAGTTGGCTGCAAGAGCTTAACAAAACAACGGAGGCTCGGGTTTATGAGCTTTTCTCTCCTCTCTCCAAATATGGCTTTGCTGAATCAGAAGCTTTAAATAAAGTCCCCTCGGGGCAAGCCCGAAGCAAATGCAATCAGTTCATAAATGAGGTTGGCCATTAAACCAGTGTCTCTCATAGCCTGCAATCAGTAGCAAGGCCAAAGGAGATGGACATAGATAAATAATGAAATAAAATAAAATAAAATAATAATGAAATAATAAAATAATAAAATAAAATAATAATGAAAGTAAAGTAAAGTAAGTAAAGTAAAGTAAAGTAAAGTAATAAAATAAAATAAAATAATAAAATAAAATATAAAATAAAATAAAATAAAATAATAAAATAAAATGAAATAAAATAAAATAAAATAATAAAATAATAAAATAATAAAATAAAATAAAATAAAATAAAATAAAATAAAATAATAAAATAATAAAATAAAAAAAAATAA